TGTTTGGTCAATACATGGAGTTTATTGGTCTATACGTGAAGTTTGTTTGGTCAATACATGGAGTTTATTGGTCAATACGTGAAGTTTGTTTGGTCAATACATGGAGTTTATTGGTCAATACGTGAAGTTTGGTCAATACATGGAGTTTATTGGTCAATACGTGAAGTTTGTTTGGTCAATACATGGAGTTTATTGGTCAATACGTGAAGTTTGTTTGGTCAATACATGGAGTTTATTGGTCTATACGTGAAGTTTGTTTTGGTCAATACATGGAGTTTATTGGTCTATACGTGAAGTTTGTTTTTGGTCAATACATGGAGTTTATTGGTCTATACGTGAAGTTTGTTTGGTCAATACATGGAGTTTATTGGTCAATACGTGAAGTTTGTTTGGTCAATACATGGAGTTTATTGGTCTATACGTGAAGTTTGTTTGGTCAATACATGGAGTTTATTGGTCAATACGTGAAGTTTGTTTGGTCAATACATGGAGTTTATTGGTCTATACGTGAAGTTTGTTTGGTCAATACATGGAGTTTATTGGTCAATACGTGAAGTTTGTTTGGTCAATACATGGAGTTTATTGGTCTATACGTGAAGTTTGTTTGGTCAATACATGGAGTTTATTGGTCTATACGTGAAGTTTGGTCAATACATGGAGTTTATTGGTCTATACGTGAAGTTTGTTTGGTCAATACATGGAGTTTATTGGTCAATACGTGAAGTTTGTTTGGTCAATACATGGAGTTTATTGGTCTATACGTGAAGTTTGTTGGTCAATACATGGAGTTTATTGGTCTATACGTGAAGTTTGTTTGGTCAATACATGGAGTTTATTGGTCTATACGTGAAGTTTGTTTGGTCAATACATGGAGTTTATTGGTCAATACGTGAAGTTTGTTTGGTCAATACATGGAGTTTATTGGTCTATACGTGAAGTTTGTTTGGTCAATACATGGAGTTTATTGGTCAATACGTGAAGTTTGTTTGGTCAATACATGGAGTTTATTGGTCTATACGTGAAGTTTGTTTGGTCAATACATGGAGTTTATTGGTCAATACGTGAAGTTTGTTTGGTCAATACATGGAGTTTATTGGTCTATACGTGAAGTTTGTTTGGTCAATACATGGAGTTTATTGGTCTATACGTGAAGTTTGTTTGGTCAATACATGGAGTTTATTGGTCTATACGTGAAGTTTGTTTGGTCAATACATGGAGTTTATTGGTCAATACGTGAAGTTTGTTTGGTCAATACATGGAGTTTATTGGTCAATACGTGAAGTTTGTTTGGTCAATACATGGAGTTTATTGGTCAATACGTGAAGTTTGTTTTGGTCAATACATGGAGTTTATTGGTCAATACGTGAAGTTTGTTTGGTCAATACATGGAGTTTATTGGTCAATACGTGAAGTTTGTTTGGTCAATACATGGAGTTTATTGGTCAATACGTGAAGTTTGGTCAATACATGGAGTTTATTGGTCTATACGTGAAGTTTGTTTGGTCAATACATGGAGTTTATTGGTCTATACGTGAAGTTTGTTTGGTCAATACATGGAGTTTATTGGTCTATACGTGAAGTTTGTTTGGTCAATACATGGAGTTAATTGGTCAATACGTGAAGTTTGTTTGGTCAATACATGGAGTTTATTGGTCTATACGTGAAGTTTGTTTGGTCAATACATGGAGTTTATTGGTCTATACGTGAAGTTTGTTTGGTCAATACATGGAGTTTATTGGTCAATACGTGAAGTTTGTTTGGTCAATACATGGAGTTTATTGGTCAAAACATAGTGTTTATTGGTCTATACATAGTTTATTGGTCCATTCATAGAATTTATTAGTCTACACGTGGACTTTATTGGTCTATACGTGGAGGTTATTGATTTATATGTAGACTTTATTGGTCTATACGTGGAGGTTATTGATTTATATGTAGACTTTATTGGTCTATACGTGGAGGTTATTGATTTATATGTAGACTTTATTGGTCTATACGTGGAGGTTATTGATTTATATGTAGACTTTTTTGGTCTATACGTGGAGGTTATTGATTTATATGTAGACTTTATTGGTCTATACGTGGAGGTTATTGATTTATACGTAGACTTTATTGGTCTATACGTGGAGGTTATTGATTTATATGTAGACTTTTTTGGTCTATACATGGAGTTTATTGGTCAATACATGGAGTTTATTGGTCAATGCGTGTAGTCTATTAGTTTATACATGAAGGTTATTGATTTATACGAGGACTTTATGGTCTATACATAAAGTTTATTGATCAGTACGTTGAGTTTATTGGTCTATACGCGAAGTCTATTAGTATATACGTGGAGTATATTTGTATGTACGTGGACTTTATTGGTCTGTAATTTGAGTTCATTGATATAAAATTGGAGTTTACTGATCAATAAGTGGAGTTTATTGGTCTTAAAGTGGAGTTTATTGGCATCTACATTACGTTTATTGGTCTATAGGTGGAGTTCATTGGTGAATAGGTGGAATTTATTGGTCTGTAAGTGGTTTGTTGCTTTGTAAGTGGACTTTATCACTTTTATTTTGTTGCAGCCAAAATGACCACTATTGAAGTGCAGGGGCCAAGAAATAATTCACAGAAATCTGAAATAGTTACATAACCTTGACTGAGAAAATATAATTTCCACATTCGTCCTTATAAAGGTGGTTAGCACATTGTCTTGTGGTTTACAGTGAAGAGGCTATATCTGTTCTTTTTGGTCCGACACATACGACTTCAGACATCCCTTAATTAGTAGCCTTTTACGACTTACTTGCTAAAAGCAGCGGGTCCCTTCCTCCCCTCCCTCAATGGGGCTCAGGATCTCATACGGGTGTCGAGTACATATTTGGTAAACCCCTGATAAACTTTAAAATATCATTGTTATACTAGTTTCCAAGTACGCCAATATAGTTTAGGAATGTTGAATGTTGAATTAAGATTCGACATCATAGCATTCGGAACACTCACATAAGCGCTCCGTTCCTATCTTCAGCAGAAAGTAAAGAGTTATAATTCCGATGGTAGCTGTAACTGACTGTATATCCGTCTCGCGTTTCCCCTGAATGTTGAACATCGGCCGGGTCCCCCTGTTTCTGATATTTTAGGAATCACTGCACTAGAAAGCAGCATACCGTTTCTCCCACCGCAGGAGAGTTCTTCAGGGAGAGTGTTGACGTCAGTGGACAACTGGTTGCCAACAGACGCTGACAGCGTGGATGTTTATGTACGGGGAATTTGTCTTAAAGACATGAAATATTCAGAAGATAAAACGTGGGAGGGGCAATGTCATCGCTCGGTCCCGCTGTTTTTGTGTTCATTAACAAAATTAACACAGCAGGGAGTTAGGATGGGAAACAAGAATGGTTGGCTAACGTACATAGTGCCAACATCATTGGCAGAGAAAGTTTAATATGTAACTGTTATTTTTTTTTTTTTGGGGGGGGGGGTGTGTGTGGGAAAGGTGGAAAAAAGGGGGGGGAAGGGAGAGTCACTACTTGTTGTTCACCATCAAGTGGCTTGCCGACTGGCGGGGATGATTTTACCTCTCCACAACGTGTGATCTCCAACAGGAAGTATCAGTTCATATCATGACGCCGTTCTAGGCAGTTTACTCTTAACGGTTGTTAGGACTCTTCTCTTGTTGTCTTTCTTTATCTCTCTTTTCTGCAGATGTTTCCAGTGGTCAAAACATGTCACAGCTTCCCTCTTCTTATAACATGGCCACAAATGATGACTGACTGCCTCCTGATGCTTGCTATGCGTTGTCTTTGGGTTCTGGCATCTTTGGCAACATCTGGAGGCTACTCTTTCTGGCTTTTTTTTCCTAGGTTTATAAAGTTTTCAGGCCCCTACTGTTTTAAAATATATCAGTTCAACTTGGAACATTTTTAAAACATGTACAATATAATTTATTTATTAATTTTTAAAAAAATATGACATGTATATGACTTCATACTCCACTCACACAGAATAGTGGAATGGTCACTGTATTACACTTGTGAGGTTTTCATACGAAGACACATCAAATGAGCATCCATCATCATCATCCTCTGCGTGCCTTTAGACGTCACATATGGCTCGCATTCGATTCCTCCACTCGGCTCTATTGCTGGCAACTCTTTCGATTACTGACACCGAATTCAGTCCAGCATTTTAAGCCTCTTATAATGTTCTTCATAATGTTTTCCTTGGACGTCCTCTTTTTCTTAGATCGTTTGTTTCCTATTTCAGTGCTTGTTTTGTAATTCTTTCGTCTCAGAGCGGGCCCAATATATCTCCAACTTCTTTGTTTTATTGCAAATGATACAGGTGTTTGTCCAGATATTTCTCTGATCTCCTCCGTCTTTTTGAATTCATCCCATTTTATGTTCATGATATTTCTCAGGAATTTTTTTTCTTTTTTCAATGCATTTAACTTCCCTTCCATATCTGTGTTGGCTCTCCAACTTTCGCTGGCATATGTTGGAACTGAAATAACATTAAAACTAAAGATTCGTAGTTTGGTCTTAAAGCTGTATAACTTGGAGATAAATATTTTGTTAACGCTTTTAAAGACTGTTGTTGTTTCGCAAATGCGTAGCATAATTTCATTCGCCATAACTCTTTGAGAATCAAAATTGCTACCCAAATAGGTGAAAGGGTTCATTACTCTTATTGGTTTCACATGAACAATAATAAAACAGTGTTATCTGCGAAAGCCAGATTTCCTGTTGTTTATTCTCCATCCAATAGCCGCCAGTACTGCCTTTGCAACCATCTTTTTTTTTTAAAAACTAGCCAATCAATGGTTATTCCAAACAACAAAAAAGATAGAATGCAGCCTCGTTTCACTCCACTCTCCACAAACTTAGACCATTTTCAGTGCGCACTGCACATTCTGCGTGTTAATGTGTTCTTCTGACTTTGTCTCCCTATAGTAAAATGTATTCTGACTTGTCTCCCTGTATTAATGTGTTCTTACATGTCTCCCTTGTTTACAGAACTGGAGATTGTAGAGGCACTGAAGTGGTTGCGGGCCGCGGGGTTTCCCCAGTATGCTCAGATGTTTGAAGGTAAGTACAAATTGTGTGTGTATGTGCTCGCGAAATAGGAGCAGTACGACATAGATGCACAAAGACACAAAAGTTACATAACCTAGCAGAGGGTAAAGGCTGCAATTTTTTTACGCTAATTATAGTAATTTCCCCTGGTCTCTGGGTAGTTACATTAAAGGCCCGAGTGTTTTGTTGCGCACGTTTAAAAAAAAAAAAAATACTTGGTAGCTGGAAATTGTAAAGAGTAGCATAGCGGCGCTACCCGGGTAAATTGGAAGAAATAGGAATAAACTCCACAGGGGAGCAAGTACAGCAGGGATCTACCAGTCATCAGTAGAAGTTATCCTCGCCGACAAATGTTTTGGCCCACGTATCTCCTAGACATTTTCAGAGGTGGGCCCACCTGAGTTCATGAAGCTCAGGGCTGGTACCCTGCTGCACGAAATTACCGGATGGTGTTTTTCTTTCGGATAGGAACAAGACGACTTGGTGATTTGCAGAAGGTACTGTGAGATAAGAAGTCGTCGCGGCAGCCTAATTAGAACAGTCAGCATACCCGGACGACCGAGCGACAAGCTTACGATTGGTTTACCGGACACATGTTGGACTTTGTTAGCAGGTGGCAGAGGATCACTGGCAGACAATTCGGACACGATGGGCTTTCAAGGGGTGAGAAACCCTTTTCCGCTAGACACCCGGACCAGCTCACCGAGGCCCGTCCCCTACGTTGTTGCGTTGCATCCAAAGCCAGCTCGAGGCCCTTTTGGCTACCTCGCCCAGTTTTTTGAGTGTTCGTTTCCGTTCATTACCGCGCAATCCTAGTTCTTTAATCACATTGTACAGTGATGTGGAGACGAGACCCCTCGCTCCCACTTCGACGGCAAAGACACGTACTGCGTACGCCTCGTCTCTCCTCAGACCGGCTGCTAAATCACTGTGCTCCTCGAGCTTGTACAGGTGATTTTCATCCCTACTCGACTCATACGGGACGGTCAGCTCAATCAGGATGAGCTGCTGTTTCTCCGCAGAGTGGAGAACTATGTCAGGTCGCAGACCGGTCTTCTGGATTAACTCAGGGTACCTTTCATGGCCCGGCAGATCAACTGCCAGTAACCAGTCCCTCGCAGAGTCTAGCACAGATGGAGCGAATGCGTTTCGGTTGACCTTAACCTTTTGAATCTGCCCAGCCTTGAGGAAACGAATGGGGACGATGGTAGAACTGGCTCTGGCGTTAGCCCTCATTCTAGCCTGGTCAACAACGGCTGCTAACTCTTTAAGCACCTTGTTGTCTCGCCAGGTATATCGGCCTTGGCCTAGGGCTTTCCTGCACGCGGACAGGACGTGCTCAAGAGTCTGCTTCCCTTTGCACAACGGGCAAGTCGGATCGTTAGTCGCAGACCACTTAACCATGTTAACACCGGACGGTAATACATCGTACGCCGAACGAACGATAAAGCTTAGTCGCAGCGGGGTCATTCGCCAGATCTCACCCCATGTGAGTACTCTTGGCAATGCACTCTCCAGGCTGACCCAATGGCCCTGCTGCGACTGCTGGGCTGCTTTCTGGAAACGAACCTCGTTTTCGTTGTCCCTCACCTCTTATATTACCATGTCTCGGCGTTCTTTGGCTGAGGCCTTTGACCACCAATTGACCTTCCCGTGTTTGAAGTAAAAAATCAACCCAAAGTATTTCAGGATCCTCGGCAATGCTACGGAATTCGGGCACTGCGCTGAGATTCTCCGAACTCAGGCCTCAGCTAGAAGTAGAACGGAAAGGAGCACTTATGGGTGACTATTCTTGTGCTATGATGATGTTCTGTTGTTTAAACTATAAACAATACACTTATCCTTTAGATTAGACATGAAATAACCCGGATTTATTTAAAGCCATCATGGTTTTTAGAGAACATTATTGGGGGGTGGGGGGGGGGGGGTATAGTTCCTTAATGTGAACGTGGGAAGCAAGAGAAAACTACCACATTATATATACCCAGAAATTATAAACAGAAGCCGAACGGTGATGAAGAGCTTTTTTTCCAGAAAACGAGGCAGAGGCAAACCTCCACTAATGTGGATTCAGGAAAGTGAAGATATATTAGCTATAAAAGCACATAGGGCTGGAGAATTGCCTATAGAAAGAGAGATTTTCAGACGAGGGGGACATTCTGATTGACCTGCTGATTGATAATGATGATTTCTTGATGAAGAGGCAGGGGTCGACCAGTACGATAATGGACACAGACTGTCCAGGACATCCTAGACATAAAAGTTCACGAGATGTGGCAGAAGGCTGGGAATCGAGTAGCTGTACGGCGTGTCGCGATGAAAGCGAGGTTCTGTGAGGAACTTCCTACAAGATGATAATGACATTCAGACATGATAACAAAAATTATGACATAATGACATTATTTATTGTCAGTAATCAATGAATGAATCATCCAAGAATTCACACCAGTGTACTCCGTTTCCCTTGTTTTGCTGAAAAACAAAAATTGTCACGTTTAACAAGCTTCCGCGAAGTGGAAGCTTTAGGTTATAATTGTGACTAGGTTATGTGCGTTATAAAAAAATAGCTTAGTATTGCTCGCTAGCAAGAAACCTGAAAATGACTCCTGTAGTGTTGATGCGATCAGAGGAGACAGACGCAAATACTGTCCTGACCGTCGACGAAGTCGTCCACTGGCGAACGACAGGGTTGCCGATGATACGGTGCACTCGAGACATTCCTAAACGTGCTTTCTCTCCGTCCCCAGAGCCGATGAAGAGTTCCCATACTGATGGTGTCAGCCGCAACAGTCTAAAAGTCCAGTTGTCTGTCCCCCTGAGTGTGTGCATGTGGGGTGTCTTGTGTGTGTGCGCGCATATGCGTGTACGTGTGTGTGTGTGAGAGTATGTGTATGTGAGAGAGAGAGAGAGAGAGAGAGAGAGAGAGAGAGAGAGAGAGAGAGAGAGAGAGAGAGAGAGAGAGAGAGAGATAGAGAGATTGAGATAACCTTTTAATTATCATTTATGGTCCGTGCTTTCCTCAGTTGACTATGTTCTGCTTTGCAGAAGGGCAGTTCCCTGTGGATTTGGGCGTCATTGAGAGAGATCATGACTTCCTGGATCAGGACTCCTTGAAATCTTTGTTCAGGTGAGTCCCATTTTCTAGCGACCCTTCCATAGATCAATAATCCTCTTCACCTTTGTGCCTCTTGGCTTTGATTCCCAGGTCCACCTTATTTTAAAAAAAGTACCATGAATCATCCTGGGAAGTAAAGGCGGCTGGCATGAGCACATACCCATCAAATGCCAATGGGTCTGAAACAACATGAGTCTGGCATGTTATGCCCGAAGCTCCACTCTCCTTCCATTAGCTGTCTTCATTGGCAACGCAGGTTTTATAATCTCGGCATCCCTGTGTGGGTTTCGGGGTCCCCATTGTGGGGAAAACAAGAATAGACCCACTGCCTTCCCAAGAAGCATGTCGTAGCAGTCGACAAATGGGGGGGGGGAATTCCTTTGAATGCGGAGTGCATCTGCGTGAGAGGCAAGGAACCAACAATCTGCATACAAGTATGTCAGATCTGTAAAAGGGATGTGCACGCAACACTTAGGTTTTGGAACAAGTCTAAAATCCAGAGGTTGTTAAATAACTAGAACTTTTCACTGGAGCTGACAGCCGGTGAAATCTAAATAAAAAAAAATAAAAAAAGAAGAAGAAGATTCATCTTCTCTACATTTGTTCTTCTTGGCTTTGGCTGTCAGGTCCACCTTGTCTAAAAAGGCTACAATGAATAGTTTTAGGAGGTAAAGGCGCCCGGCGTTATGTTGACCACATCACTCGTCAAATGTCAATGTGTCTGGCATATTACTTTCCTGTCTTTATTGCCAACGCAGTTTCATAATTTATTTATACCAATGAATTGGGAGCAGATTGCTTTGAGTTGATTTCGCCCAATGTATGATGGTTAAACAGTCAAGCAAGCCATGGCAAACTTCTGTACACAAAATCTTTTACTAAAACCACAGACAGCAAATGACGGGCTGCTTGATGATCTTCCGCAAAGGATGTGCAATAGAAATTGATCTGATTTTACTAGTTTATGATTTTCCCGCTAGGCTAGTCTTTTCGATTTCCAACTACCAAGGGATTCTTTTTTTTAAAAAGTGCGCAATAATACACACGGGCGTCCGATCATACTACCCAGAGACTAGGGCACATTACTAAAAGTCCAGGTGAAAAATATCCCAGCCTTCACCGGGGCCAGAACCCGGGACCTCCAGCACTCGAGGCGAACGCCATGCCTCAATACCATTCAGCCCCTCCCTGTAACAGAAAACCATGAGGCTTAAAACACTAATCACCTGAGAGAGAGGTTCGCTGAAGCAGCCGCAGCTGTAAATCTGGACATGGTTGAGAAGACGTGGTAGGAGACTGAATACCGTCTAGACATCAAATGCTGCAAATGCGACCATATCGAAACGTACTAAGGTCGATCTAAAACTGTAATCTTTTCTGAAGATTTTGAGATGCCACAAATGTATATCTATTAAATACATCTTGAATGATCATCATCATCATAAACCACTTCTGTTGTTAAGCGTCGTGGAGAGTAATAATTTGCGATCCAGTGCACGTTGGCTGCCACTGGCTCTTGTCATGCCGTGAAGGCGTAGAGTGTCTTTTATGTTGTCAATCCATGTTTTCCTGCGGCCGTCCTCTTGCTTTTGTAGCTGATCTTCTGACATGTAGTGCTTGTGATGGTATTTGATCTTGCTGCATTCTAACGAGTTTCATTATTCACTCGATCTCGGATGGTTAGGTTGGCTGTTTTTCTCAGGCATCTTATCTCACAGGTGGTGATTTTGCGTTTATCTGTATGATAACTAGGGTTGTACCGAATAATGATTTTCACTATTCTGCCGAATACGAATAACGGTACCAACTATTAGGCCGAATACGAATACGAATAGTGTATAAAATATATCTACAAAAACACACACACACACAAACACACACACACACACACACATACACATTCATAATGTCAAATGTACGCTGAACTTTTACTTCACATAAAGTAGCACAGAATAGTCATCTTCTTCTAAAGCATTCTGAGCTCTTGAGGTTTACTGCTGCATTCATCTCTCTGGCTGGCCCTCTCTTCTCAATTTGTGACACGAGTTGTTTGCAGGTCTGGCTGGACATTATCTCTCGAACTTCTTTTTTGTCTGCCTCGTGGTCTACGACCATTCACCTCTCTTGTGTCAACAGTTTTTACTTCTCTGTCATCTGACATTCTTTCAATATGCCCCAACAATTTTAGTCTCTTAGCTCTAATGATGCCAGTGATCAATGGTGATTTAAACAGATTATGTGTTATGTTGTTGCTTCTCACTCTCCATTCCCCGCGGTTAGCATCTTTGATGGGTCCAAAGATTCGTCGTAAGATTGTTTTCGAAAACCTGTAATAAGGCCTCATCTTGCAGATTTGTATCCTTCAGTCAGTCTGTGGTAACTAATAACTAGGAATGAAAGAATCCTAAGTATTATAACAAGTAACTAAACTTGAAAATTGTCACTGACAGCTTAGTTAATACATGAAAGCTGCATTAGCTTTCAACAAAACCAATCGTTCCATGTTGTCAGCATTAAGGCCGTGTATGCAGAAGCGGGTATAAAGTAACTACTATTCGTATTCGGCTCGACCGCAACTATTCGGCCAAATAACGAATAGTCAATAGGTCCACTATTCGGCCCCGAAGCGAATACGAAGCGAATATTCGGTACAGCCCTAATGATAACAGTTTAAAACCTCGGCAATCATTTTCGATGACCCTGGTATTTAGGGCGCCCCATTGTTCCGAAGTAATTAAGTGTTGGCGCGTCTGACCAGTAATGTAAGTTAAGGGCCCTTTACCGCGCCTGCAGGCCTGTTGGGCCTAAAACGCTGAAGCTGTTTTTTTACCAATCGTCACTCGGCTGCCTTTACTTCCCATAATTTTACTAGGCACCAATGGAAGGCTAGGTCGACCTGGAAGCCAAGGTCATTTTTAAAGCAAGTGTGGCTCCGTTCAGTTTCGAACCCATGATCTTCGGATAACAGGCCAGCGTTGACCAATGATAAAACTTTATTTATTTAAAATATTTCTTCAACCAATCATTTGAACCGGAGTCCATTGACAGTATAGTTATTTGCGTATCCTTCACAGGACGTTGCACAACAAACCCCAGAATTGCTTGGCTGTTGTTGTTTTTCTAGACACATTTTACTTTCAGTAGTTTGCCACAGCTTTTAAAACGGTCAGCTCTCGGTACCACTGTGGAAACTTACGCAAACGCAAGACACACCGTACGGAGCTGGGAACGAACCCAGCACCCCGGCATTACAAATCGAGTTCACAACGCTCAAGCCACAGTGACATGCCTAAAATCATGGGTACATAACAGCGTAAACAAAATCAAGTAACGGATCAGTTTCTTTAAAATCTATATAGATAAGACGCTCAGGTTGACTGCGGCACACAATGTGAAAATATGAGAATAATGTACTTAGAAAGTATAGTGGAACTCACAGGGCATACACATTAGGTCAGGCCACGAACATAGGAGGAGAGGCATAGAGTGTAGGTTGAAAACATTGGGATAGCAGGCAGTGAGCTACATGCCATAGCAAATAATAGGACTATTTGGCATAAGTTGTCTCATGACCTACGCTTCACTGGAGGAATAAAGGGCAAATAAAGAAGAAGAGGAACAAACAGAAAAAAAAAAAAGAAAGAAAGAAGAAGAAGAAGAAGAAGAAGAAGAAGAAGAAGAAGAAGAAGAAGAAGAAGAAGAAGAAGAAGAAGAAGAAGAAGAAGAAGAAGAAGAAGAAGAAGAAGAAGAAGAAGAAGAAGAAGAAGAAGAAGAAGAAGAAGAAGAAGAAGAAGAAGAAGAAGAAGAAGAAAAAGAAGAAGAAGAAGAAGAAGAAGAAGAAGAAGAAGAAGAAGAAGAAGAAGAAGAAGAAGAAGAAGAAAAAGAAGAAGAAGAAGAAAGAGAAGAAGCAGTAGTATCAGCAACAGCAGAAGAAGAAGGAGAAGCAGCAGCAGCAGAAGAAAAAGAAAATGAAGAAGAAGAAGAAGAAGAAGAAGAAGAAGAAGAAGAAGAAGAAGAAGAAGAAGAAGAAGAAGAAGAAGAAGAAGAAGAAGAAGAAGAAGACGAAGCAGCAGCAGCAGCAGCAGAAGAAGAAGAAGAAGAAGAAGAAGAAAAAGAAGAAAAGGAAAAAAGAAGAAAAAGAGAAGAAAAAAAAGAAGAAGAAAGAAGAAGAAGGGAAGAAGAAGAAGAAGAAGAAGAAGAAGAAGAAGAAGAAGAAGAAGAAGAAGAAGAAAGAAGAAGAAGAAGAAGAAGAAGAAGAAAGAAGAAGAAGAAGAAGAAGAAGAAGAAGAAGAAACAAGAAGAAGAAGAAGAAGAAGAAGAAGAAGAAGAAGAAGAAGAAGAAGAAGAAGAAGAAGAAGAAGAAGAAGAAGAAGAAGAAGAAGAAAAAGAAGAAGAAGAAAAAGCAGCAGCATCAGCAGCAGCAGCAACAACAGAAGAAGAAGAAGAAGAAGAAGAAGAAGAAGAAGAAGAAGAAGAAGAAGAAGAAGAAGAAGAAGAAGAGAAGAAGAAGAAGAAGAAGAAGAGGAGGAGGAGGAGGAAGGAGGAAGGGGGGAGGAGGAAGAGATCGTTTTCACGTAATTATCAGATGAGACATATGATGCTAGAACTGCCCTTGTTGGAGTCATCCTAACATTGGTCCAGCTTAGTCATTCTCACAATATGACCACAAAAAACGACTATCTCTGATTTTTTAACCCTTTTGTCTTAGTCTTCTCCACAAACATGTCCATTATTCTTGTTGACTTTCCAGGGAAAATTTATCCCTCTTTTCTGTAGCTCAGCGTTCTCTGATATTTCAGTGACTTTTTCTCTATTACTAATCATCAAGGATCCCACAACTATGTGTTACACTTTGTTTTAAGTAACATGCACGAATCCTGTTTTTTTTTTTTTTTTTTTTTAAACCTCCAATGACAGAGATTTATTCCCTCAGATGATGTTAATTTTATTAAATCCATATTTGCATGTCCTAATATGGTTTCTTTATCTCTGTGATTCATCCTACATGGGAT